TTTCTGAATATTTCCATTAGATGCTACATATAAGAACTGCTCTAAAACTTTCTATTCTGTTCATTTATTGTTTTGATCCAAGGCAAGATACCTAGTGACTTCTCTGCCCTTCAGTTCCTTCCCCAGGTTATTTCCCATGTTTCTATGAGGTTTAAATAGAGAAGGTCAAGAAAGATGTTGGGTGCCTACTCGGAGGCACTCTGTACTTCAGGGACATTACTAGGATTTAAAAAAGAGATGCACCTAGCCATTCTGTTTTCTCTGTTCTAATATTTTAACTCATTTTTCTATTTCTTATTTAGAAAAGCTTTATTTGGCCTCTGGATTTATTGCCGAAACTAACAATCCAAAAAAAAAACAACTAAGAAATTTTTTCCTTTGGAAGGCAGTTAAAAGAGATGAATGACTTTGATTTTCTAGATTTATTTTTCAGAATGATAGACATGACAGAGATTATTTGACTTCTGTTAACCTAGCATTCCTAAGTAGCACTTATAGAACTGGTGAGCCAAAATTAGACCTAAGACTAAAGGGCCATTTAACCTGCCCTCCATCCCAGCCTTAACTAATGCTCTGAAAAAAAAAATGCACTTGGATCCTAGTTTTAGTGCATCTGGTCCTCATGCTGATATGGCTGGTTTCTCAGTGCTATAGACTTGAGAATAATCTCCTGACTGATGAGAACACAGTACCAGGGAATGTGGAATGAAAGTCTATTTAATGTTTCTCCTGGATGAGCTATATCATTCCATTCTGGAGTTTGTTTCTGAAATGCCTAACTCAGTAAGCACAAAACACTGAGCAGAGGACAGATTGTTATTCTGCCAGATAGTCATCTCTGCATACATACCCAGGAATGGATATTGGAATAAAAAACTAAGGACATAATAGTTTGGATAGACATGTGTATTAATTTGTTAGGGATGTTATAAAAAATACCACAGAATTTGTGGCTTAAATAAGGGAAACATTTTTTTTTACTGTCTGGAATCTAAGAAGTCTAAGGAATATTTGATTCCTCCTGAGACCTCTCTCCTATGGTCTCTAAAATTAAAGGAAATGTGAGAAAATCACAGATTCGGAAAGTTTCCGTCAATGGAAAATGAAGATATAGAAACAAA